CTGTGCTACCAGAGCTCCTGTGCCACCAAAGCTCAACCTTCCTTCCAAGGAGTGGCTGGTGGATTTGAACCCGCAGCCTTCTGGGTAGCAGTCAAATGCCTTAGGCACTATGCCACCAGAGCTCCTAAATCAAAAACATGTAGCCTCAAATATGTTGTTGTTAGGTGCCATCTAGTGGGTTCTGACTCACTAAACGAAACACTGCTCAGTCCTGCACCATCCTCACAATTGTTGCTATATTTGAACCCATTGTTGCAGAGACTGTGTCAAACCATCTCATGGAGGATATTCCTCTTTTGCTGACCCTCTACTTTATCCAACATGATAGGCTTCTCCAGAGACTGGTCGTTCCTAATAACAGGCCCAAAGTACATGAGACAAAATCTCATTTCCAAGGACCATTCTGGCTGTACTTCTCCTAAGACAGCTCCCCTCCTTCTTCTAGCAGTCTGTGGTATATTCAATATTCTCGACCAACACCATAATTCAAAGCCATCAATTCTTCCTTAGTCAGCTTTCACGTGCATAAGAGGTGACTGAAAATTTCAAGGCTCTGGTCAGCACACCTTAGTACTCCAGGTGACTTTGCTTTATAACACTTTAAAGAAGTCTTTTACAGGAGATTGGCCCATGCAATACAGCATTTCATTTTGTGACTGCTGCTTCCATGGGCACTGACTGAGGATACAAGTAAAATGAAATCCTTGACACTTTAAATATTTTCCTGGTTTATGATGATGTTGCTTATTGGTCCAGTTGTGAAAATTTTTGTTTTATGCTGAAGTATAATCCATACTGAAGCTGGAGTCTTTAAACTTCATAAGCAAGTACTTCACATCCTCTTCAGTTTCAGTTGTATCATCTGCATATCACAGGTTGTTAATGAGTCTTTCTCCAATCCCCATGCTGCATTCTTATTCATATAGTCCAACTTCTCGAATTATTGTCTCAGCATAGAGATTGAGTAAGTATGGTGAAAGGACAGAACCCTCCTGATGCACACCTTTCCTGATTTCAAACCAGGTAGGAGCCCCTTGTTCTGTGTGAATGACTGCCTCTTGGTCTATGTACAGGTTCCTCCTGAGCAAAATTAAGTGTTCTGGAACTCCCATTCTTCACAATGCTATCCATCATTTGTTAGGATGCATACAGTCAAAGCCTTTGCATAGTCAATGAAACACAAATGAACATCTTTCTAATATGCTCTGTTTTCAGCTAAGATCCATTTGCAATGATATTCCTCATTCTACATCCTTTTCTGAATCTGACTTGAATCTGTGGCAGTTCTTTGTTGATGTACTGCTGCAACTGCTTTTGAATTATTTTCAGCAAAATTTTACTTGTGTGTGGTTTTAATGGTACTGGTTGATAATTTCTATAGTCTGTTAGATCACCTTTCTTTGAAACATGCACCAAGATGGATCTCTTCTAGGTGGCTGGCCAAGGAGTTGTTTTCCAAATTTCTTGGCATAGATGAATGAGCACTTCTAGCATTGCAAGCATTTGCTGAAACATCTCAATCGATATTCAGTCAATTCCTGGAGCCTTGTTTTTTGCTAATGCCTTCAGTGCAGCCTGGATTTCTTCTTCACTACTATCAGTTCTTGATTATATGATACTTTATGAAATGGTTGAACACCAACCAATTCTTTTTGGTACAATGACTGTGTATTCTTCCCATCTTTTCTGATGCTTCTTATGTCATTCATTTTTTAACTCAGAATTTTTCAATATTACAATTTTAGGCTTGATTTATTTCTTTAAGCTTGTGAAATGCCAAGCAAGTTCTTTTCTTTTGGTTTTCTAACCACAGGTCCTTGCACATTTCATTATAATACTTTACTTTGTCTTCTTAACAAAGAAATCTTCTGCTTGGTTCTTTTCCCTCATCATTTCTTCTGTTCACTTTAGCCTCTTTATGGTCTAGTACAAGATTCAGGGTCTCCTCTAACATTTATTTTGGTCTTTTCTTTCCTGTGCTTTGACTGACCTTTCGCTTTCTTCATGTATGATGTTCTTGATGGCATCCCACAACTCATCTGGTCTTTGGTCATCAGTGTTCAAGGCATCAAATCTGTTCTTGAGATAGTTTCTAGGTTCAGGTGGGATATACTCAAGGTCATAGTCATACTTGGCTCTCACAGACTTTAGTTTTGTGAAGCTTAAACTTGAACTCGTATACGAGCAATTAATGGCCTTTCTGTAGTGGGCCCTGGCCTCGTTCTGAGTGTGCTCCTCCATCATCTCTTTCCACAGATGTAGTTGATTTGATTCCTGTGTATTCCATCCAACAAGGTTCATATGTATGTTGTTGTTGTTGTTGTTATGTGCCGTCGAGTCGGCCCCGACTCATAGCGACCCCTCCTTGGGTTTCCGAGGCAGTATCACTACGGAAGTAGGATTGCCCAACCTTCCTTCCGAGGAGTGGCTGGTGGGTTTGAACCACCAGCCGTCTGGTTAGCAGGCAAGTGTCTTAGCCACTATGCTACCAGAGCTCCCAAAGAGATGGCCCGTCTACCTGGCGGGGAGCGGCCGGTGGGTTTGAACCCGCAGCCTTGGGTGTGGCAACTGGCTGCCCGAGGCCCTGAGGCCATCCCCGGCGGCCTCATATCATATGTATACAATCACCTTTTATGTGGTTGAAAAAGGTATTATAAATAAGTTGTTGGTTTTGCAAAATTCTATCATGCAATCCCCAGAGTCATTTCTATCACCAAGGCCTTATTTTCCAACTAATGATCCTTCTTTATTTCCAAAGTTCACATTCCAATCATCAATAATTATCAATGCATCTTGACTGCATGCCTGATCAATTTCAGCCTGCAGAAGTTAGTAAAAACCTTCAATTTCTTCATCTTTGGCATTATTGGTTAGTGTGTAAATTTTGAATAATTTTATTAAGTCTTCCTTGTAGGTATATGGATATTATCCTGTAACACTGCTTCTTTTTTCAGGATAGATATTGACGTGTTCCTTTTGGTGACACATTCCTCTTTGTCATTCCCAGCATGGTAGACCACATGACTATCCGTTTCAAAACGGCCAACACCAGTCTGTTTCAGCTCACTAACATGTAGGCTATCAATCAGTATGCATTCCATTTCATTTTTGATGACTTCCAATTTTCCTTGATTCATATTTGTATGTTCCATGTTCTGATTACCAATGGATGTTTGCAGCTGTTTCTTCTCATTTTGAGTCATGCCACATCAGCAAATGAAGGTTTGGAAAGTTTACTCCACCCACATCATTAAGGTCAACTGTACTTTGAGGAAGCAGGTCTTCTCCTGTTGTATTTTGGAGCCTTTCAGCTATATCGGATAATGTTGCACTGCCATTCACAAGGTTTTCACTGGCCAATCTTTTTCAGAAGTAGATCACCAGGTCCTTGTCCCTAGTGTATCTTAGTCTGGAAGCTCCACTGAAACCTGTTCACCAGGGGTGACCCTGCTGGTATTAGAAGTACGGGTGGCATAGTTTCCAGAACCATATCAACATGCAAACTGCCACAGTACTACAAACTTTCAGACAAGTCGTACAGCCTTAAACAGAAAGAATATTAGTTTAAATACTTCTCACAACTTACCAACTGATCTGTCATCCACTTTCCTTCCACAGCTTTTAATACTCTGTAAGCAGAGATGAGAAAATAAGCTATTAAAAGTTATAAAAAAGTGATTTTGTTGAAGCATTTTTTTTGTTTATGCATTCATTTGGAGACACTCCATTAGCTACAGAGTCAATCTGGCTGTAATGTTTACAGAAGCCAATCGACAGGCCTGGTTCTTCTGTGGTACCAACTGGGTCCCTTCAAATTCGCAACCTTTAGGTGACCAGTCGAGCTCTGACCATCTACATCACTCAGGAACCTTAAAAAAGTCATTTTGCAATGAGTTCTTAGAAAGTACTACAAATAGCAACATGGGACTTACCATTTAGAACGCTTTCTCAATTCCCTATTTTCTGCAGTTTTTATTGTTTATTTCCTTCCTTTTGCACTTCTAACACTGTTCCGAGCCTGAACGTTCTACAAATGTCCACAATAAACTTCCACAATGGCTACAGCCTTTGTCTTCATTCATAATCAATAACTGCCATCAGTCACAACTAATAATAATGATAATGATAACTATAAGACAAGATCTCACTCAAGATCCAAAAGTCTATGGTTAGTTGTCAAATAATTGGCATGAATCAGCATCTGCAGGAATTTGTTGTATGGAATGCAGTGTTCTATGGGAAAAAATAAAGTTTCAGTGATCAAGTAGTAAAGAAATTTCTGAATTAAATAAATTCAAGCAGATTCCTTTACTACAAGGTGTCTTAGAACATTTAATCTGCTAAGAATGTGTTTGTGTGATGAGCACAGACTCTCTTGAGAAGCTCAAAGCACCCTTTGGGGGACCTTGACACATACATTAGTACAGACACCAGAGAGGGTGAAATCTCCACAGTGGCATGGTTGGCAAATGTTTCACTGCGGACAACCCCTAAAGAGAGCTGAGGGCTGGGGAGGATCTTCAGAGGATGAGGAAATACATTAAGTTAAAGAGAAAACTATGAATAAAGACAAACACCTGGGTGTGGTCTGGAGAACAGTATTGGAGCAGAAGATTCTATAGGACAGAAATTCTCAAACTGAAGAGGTGAGAGATTCATCAAGGGTGCTTTTATTTTTTTAAAAAAGTAAGTAATTTTATTTCTGTTGTGGAGAATATAAACAGCAGAACATATACCAACTCAACAGTTTGTGCATGTACAATTCAAGGATACTGATTACATTCTTCAAGCTGTACAACCATGCTCACTCTCCTTTTCTCCCTCATGAACATAAAGTCACAGCCTCCTGAGTTTCCTATCCAATCTTTGAGTTGGTATTGTCAGTTTGATCCCATACATACAGTTCTTAATAGAGCACAAAGCTCAAGGCAGACATTCTTTACTAACTAAGCTCAACTATTGTTTGGTTTTAAGAAAACTTCAGGGGTTATTTTTGGTTTAAGCTTTACAGATTATCTCAGAAGGGTGCTTGTTTTGAAAAATTCAGATTCCCAAGCCTCACTCCAAACCTACTAAATCAGACATTCGGGGGATATGATTTCCACAATCTGCATTTTTAACCATGGTTGTCAGTGTTACTTGCCAGTGAGTCCACGTCAACTCATGGTGACCCCACACGACCCCATTATTATTCCAGTTAATTAATTCTGATACAGACGTTTTACAGACCACACTTTGCAAAACTCTAATGTAGGAGAAAGAAGAAAGGTAAATGGAAGCAGTTATGTCATAAGGGAGCCACCACTACTAATTTAAGTCTAATCACTCCCACTGTCCTCGCCCCAGTTACTACACTCAATTATCAGGGCTGTGGGTCTGATTCATTCATCCAAGCATTCACTGAGTACCAAGCACTTGGTATGATCCTAGTATTTTCTAGAAACTTGTTAGTGTCTTATCTACTATTTCTACCAGATGCATAGCTCTTCCCAGTTCACCCACACTTTAAGAGATTTCACCCTAAGCTCAATAAACTAGCAATCCATTTATCTGCATGCCACAGCCCTGAGTTAAGCCAAATGGTGACTAGATAACTTTCATGAAAAAGAAAAAAAAAAAACTTACTCTTTTTGAAATTCTTCTTGCTTGCTTTTAAGTCGGCTTAACCTTTCCTTCTTGTCAACAAACCTATGAGGAAAAAAAAAATCAATGTTTATTCAAATGTTTTTTCTCAGTTCAATGAGATTATGTAAATTCCTGAGAGCTGATAATTTCTGCAGATTCATCTGAAATGCTACTGTCAGGAAAGTAAATACAGGGCTTTACAACGGGATACGCACAGCTGTCTATCATTTTAAGACTAAGTTCAAATTCTCAACTTTAAAATGTTTTCATGAGTTTTGAAAACATGTCTGTAGGAATTTATCCCGAGGTTAAATCATTTTTCTAAACAGGAACATTAAAAAACTAAAGTGAATGTCCTCACAGCTCCAGAATTCAGGTTCATTTTTACCCCACCTCATTTCATACATCCTGTCTCCACAGCCCAACATAAAACTCTCTTCCTACTTTACTTAGTTAATGTCTATTTACTCATCAAATCTCAACTTCAATGCCACTTCCACAAGGAAGCAGCTTTCTCTAATACCCAAAATAGGTCAGGCTCTTTCAGCTACATACTTTCCCAGCAACCAATTCTTCTCCTTCACAGCACATAACATTTGTATAATTAAATGACTGGCCTCACTCAATGTTTGCATGAATAGAGGAAAGAAGTCTAACCATGGTTGATTCAAAAGGCGACAATGATGAATGTTGATGATTTTGTGTAAGTGCTATATGTGGATATTTGAAAAGATTTAGAAATAAATTAGGCTGGAAGGAATATGAATAACAATGTGTGTACCCAATTTAGAAATCAGGAAGGAGAATTCAAATAGTGAGTAAAACTAGGATAAAATTATTTATTTATTTATTTTTAATTGTGATTTGAGTGAAAATTTACAGAGCAAATTCACTTTCCATACTGCAGTTCACATACACTTTGTCTCATGACGTTGACCACAATAAAACACCTCCCCTCGTACTTCCTCCTGATAGTTAACCTCTTCC